GACCTCCTGCTTGCACTGTGCTCTCCACCTGGTACACTGTCCCCTGCCAGCAGCCGGTTCCCCTCACTCTTCTGGTCTTTGCTCAAACATGGGCTCAGCAACACCTCCTCTGGCTACCCGATTCAGAATTGCTCCCCTTCTTTGTTTTATTCCAGAGCCTCACCCCCTGGAACACATGACATTTTTACATCCTTATTGTTTAGTCTCTGTCTCCCTGACTAGATCATCAGCTCCCTGGGCCCCTGGACTCTGTCAGCACCAAGCAGGAGCTTAATACACAAGTGTTTGTTGAATGAAGAAATTACCACCTTCCCTTCCCTTGCCCACTCCTGAGTTGTAGATCCCATGCTGTCCCTGTCTCATGGACTCTGCTGCCACCAGCAGCGCGCCTGGCCCTGTAGGTGCTCAGGAAACACCTGGGAAGAAAGGATGGCCAGCGTGGGGACACTCAGACTGCTCCCCAGGATTTTGCTCCATTTCCTGAGTCTCAGTTTGCTCAGCCATGAAGTGGGAGGTCAGGGCTATGTGGAGCCCGCTGGGTGATCCTGGGGAACACGTGCCTCTGGGGCACTTGGTGTGCACCCCCTTCCCTGGGATATCCAGAAAGACCCAGCCGCTGAATCTGGTCTCTGGAGCTGACTCCAGCTTGACCCCTGACATCAGCCATCATCCCCCTCCGTGGCCCTCCCCTATCGGTTAATCTAAGACAAATAGGCCTATCAGGCTGCACTGCCAGGCCCGGTGATAAAGCAAAATAGCTGAAATGATTTTTCCCACCCACACATGCCTGGCTGGCGGGAGGGGACTGTGGCGGGCAGTATCGGCCCATCTCCTGGGCTGTCCATCAGGACAGGCCGTCCTGCCTCAGCCGCCTGCCCGCCCACTGCCCGATAACAAACCTTGAGGTTTGCATAGAAACTCCAGGCAACAAGATTAGTCAGCCGAGCGCAGCCCAGATAGTCGGCCCTATGCCCTCGCTCACCCTCCAGGGTGAGGTTTTCCAGCTTCCAGCAGGCCCCCTGGATCCCTGTGGGGCGGGAGAATTAGGCTCCAATCCCCCCGGCCTCCCCACCCCAGCAGGAAATGGCTGACAGATGCCTCCTCCATCCCCTCACAGCAGCTGCTTCCAACCTATTCACCATATGGCAGCTGACCAAATGCCCCACTTAAAACCCTGCTGCCCCCCATTTTATAGCCAAGAAAATGGAGGCATCTCCCCACAGTCCATGGCATTGAGCCCATGCATGCCCCATCCTACCTCTTCCCACCCCACAGCCTCTAATGCCTGAGCCACACCCACACTTTAAACCTCAAGACCCGTTCCTGCTAGCTCCTCACTGGAACACTCGCCCCACTCCAACTTGTCCTTTAGGCTTGGGGGTTAGGAGTAAGGTGCTGACCTGGCCCTGACCGCCTGGCTGATCCCTCTGCCGACCTGCAAGTGTGTGGGAACATGACCAGCCTACCTATCATTCCCTCCAGGGCTGGGGATGGAGCTGGGGACAAAGAAGGTGACACGGATGTTTGGGCCATTAGGTTTGTTTTTTAAACAGTGGTCCCCAGGAGAGAGCTCCAGGTCCTGAGAATTGATGGGTAAAGGGGACCTCACTCCCGGGGCCCTGATCACACAGCCAGGGATGGAGGGGCGGAGGCAGGGCACTGAAACGAAGCCAAGAGACACTTTCTACCAAACAGGCGCAGCCTCTCAGATGCCAGCTCCCTGCCCACTGAGAGCTGGATGACCTTGGCCATGCCTTTATATCCTGCCAGGCCTCAGTTTCCCTAATGGTAAAGTTCTCACCAGGTCCTGAGCACACATGCGGCCACGCTGTGCTCCATACTCCGTCTCTTGGCTGGTGTGGGTCCTCACCCCCGCTCCATGCCCCTCTCTTTTGAAACTGGGCTGCTCCAGACAGGGGTTTTGAGGCCCAGGAAAGTCCATCTCAGTCTCAGCTCTACTCCCCCACCAAAAGCCCTGGATTTGGGGGGAGCAGAACCAACTCACCCCTGGAGTCAGGGGCAACAGACTATGGCCCTTGTGGGGACTGTTTGTTACCCCGTCTGGGGCACAGGGCAAGTTGCTGTCAAGTATCGATGAGTGAAGGGTGGTGGCAGGTGGTCCTCAGCTCTGTGCCCCCTCGCTTCCTGCTCCAGCTCAACCTCTTCCTACCCAGTGCCAGCCTGTGCCCTTGTGATAGAGCCAGGCTGTGGTCCAGCAATCAGTCTCACACAGGAGGCTGCCCACTGCCCACAGTCCTCTCACCCGTCAGTGTCCTCTCACCTTGTATCCTGGCCCCCACCCCCCCAAGGCTCTGCCCAATTGGCTTTATTTTGTAAACAGTGGTCACCAGGAAAGAATTCCAGGCCCTGAGACCTTATGGGTGAAAGGGACCCTGCTCCGGGGGCCCTGACCACACAGGCAGGCCACAGACTGGGTGCCCTGACCATGAAATGTGCCCCTGGCCACCGCCTTCCTCCCTAAGCCTGTGAAGCCTGGGCTGTCCTCATGGTCACTTGATGTCCCCAGATTGGGGGGGAGGGGGAAGCCCTAGAGGCCTCCTGGTTCCCCTCCTGCTCCCCAGTGAGTATAGCACCCACGGTGACTCACCCTATGCTTAGCATCCAAGGCATCTGGATCACGCTTCCTCCAACCAGGCAGCTGGAGAGAGACTGTGCTCTATGGAGTCCCCTCAGTGCTGGGCAGAGAGGGTGGGACATCAGTGCTGGCAGAGAGGCTACTCTGTGGGAAGGGAGCCTAGAGGACTACCAAGGGGAGGGGACCCCATACACCGCAGCTGCTGCCTTCATCAGTCTCCTCGTGATCTGCCAGGCAGGCCCAGGCCATGCTGACTGCCATTAGTCAGAAGCTTGGACAGGACTATGAGGTGGGTGTCAGGCCTAGGACCCCCACACAGAGGGAGCCTCAGGGCTCCTAGCGCTAATGGGGGTGCTTATCTGTCTGACCTGCTTTTTCCAGATGTTAAGTGGAGAGGTGGAGAGGAGCGAGGGTAGTGGTAGGGGTGGACACAGGACAGAGAGGGACGTGGGGTGGGTGGAACCAAACCCAGAGGATCAGAGAGCACAAGGACAGCGGAGCAAAGGCAGTGCAGCTGCCCTTCCAGCCAGGATTTGGGGATTATAGATTTCAGCTTGTAGCTATTTGCATATCAGAATTTTAAACAGTCAGCCCCTCTAGCAAACAAGGTCATTTCAAAGATAAAACTTCTGAGCTCTCCCTCTTCCTGTAGCCTGCCCCCTTCCCTTTGAGCTGGGCTGAAGGCTCAGCTCCCATCCCCACCTCCTCTCCTGTGGGACCTGACCCTCCCCATGGCAGGAGAGAGAGAGAGATGCTCACACATGACAGGCAGAGGGGCTCAGAGGGACAGAGAACAAGAGAGAGGGTCTTAAACATGCAAAGAGCGCCAGGACATCAGTCACCAATGAAGGTGACCAGGCACTGGTGGCACCCTACCCTGCATGTGGTCACTGCTGAGCAGTGCCCTCTGGGACACCAACCCAGCTGGGTCCCGATGAAGCCCTGCCACCCCCATTGCTGGCACGGGTGGCCCCTGTGAGATAAGAGCCCACTGGGCCTCTCTGGCTTCCCTGGGCGGGCGATAAGTGTGGCTGCTTGGGGTCTGATAGGGGGCAGCCACCGCGGCGGTTGGCCAGTGGCCACTTATCAGCCCATCGCTGCCCATTTCATATCTGTGGGAGCTGATAGGGAGTCCCCTGGCCCCCAAGGATGCAAATAGTGTAGGAAGCTCCTGGGGTACTCTAGCCCTGGCCTGGGGTCAGGTTCTGATCTCTAGGGGCTTATGTTTCTATGTGAAATGAGATGATGATATTACCCTACAGGGTGGACAGGACCGCCTGGGTGATCACTCAAGCTGGAGCTCACAACCCATAGCCGACTCTGGAGCCAGTTGGTGGGTCCAAACCCAGCTCTGCCACTTCACAGCTGATGACCTTGGACAATCCTCTTGGTCACTGGGTGCCCCTCTGCTCCGGCGAAGACTTCCCTGACCCCCCATCAAGGTGAGGCCCTCACCATGTACCTTCTTCTCACTGGTCGGTCATGAACCTCGCTTATTATTATGCCTTTGTGTGTGCATGCTCCCTGAAGACTGTGCTAACAGACTCTGGCACATAACTAGTGTTCCATAAGTGCTTGCTGCATCACGCATGTGCCTGGCATGAGTAGTCTCCCTTCCATCCTTCCAGTCACCGAGGACCACACCCTGCCTCCTCCTCCCCAGTTCCCACTATCAGCCCTCCATGGCAAGCTGTACCTGCGCCTGGAGATGCAGCCCCGCCAAGTCCTCCCACACGTCACCCGTGTCCCTGAACCAAAGACCATGGAGACAACCGGCATTCTTCCTTCTCTTCACAAATGAGAGGAACTGGGTTGGGGGAGGGGCAGAAAGAACACATTTGATTGGACTTCCAAGGTCAGAATTTCAGTTGCAAATTGGAGGGCGTGTGATTGGCAGCCCAAAACTACCCTCAAAGACATTCCCTGTGGTCCAGGGCCAAGTAGTTTGCAGCTACCTCCCACCTCCCGGGTGCCCACAGCCACCTCTGGGGCAGGGTGGGGGCAGGCTACCCTGCCCAGGCCTAAGCACATGTACAGCTCTAAATTCCCAGCCCAGGCAGAAGGCCCTCCCTACCCCCTCTGCCCTGCCTGTTTCCAACTCTTGGGATGTCTTTCCTTCATCACTGCTCCTCTTTTCCCTCCTAGGAGTCCACTTTGATCTGCCATGCCTGGCATTCAGCTCTGAGCATCAGCACAGCTCAGTGCTAGCCTCCAGCGATACCACTGGCCCCAGAGATAAGCTGGACTTTGGAACAGGCCTAGGCCCGGGGGGTTGCCACCAACCTCTCCAGCCAGCAGGCCAGGCCTGTCCCACATGAGCCGCCAGAGCGCTCAGCTCCAGGGCTCCCAGAAGGCTGGGTCGGGGGCCACCCAATGCTGCCGGCATGACCGCAGGCATGGTTACCTGGCCCGCTCCACGAGCTGCTGGACTCCTCCTCCAGACTCGTCTCTGGCTCCTGCCCCTCCATCTCCTTGGAGCCTTCAGGGGATGTGGGGTGCGGTGTTGGTGGTGGGGGCAGGGGATTAGCTTCTGCAGAGAGGAAAACACCATCAGGCCCCACCAAGCTCTGGGTACCAAGTTGCCTGACCTCTTGACCTATCCTTGGTGGCCAGGAAGGACACCAAGGCCCAGGTAAGCATGTGCCTAAGGTCACCCACCCCTAGACTTGCTCTAATTGGGGAGGATCAGGCAACTCAGTTTCCCCCCTTGGCCTTTAAAACCTTTCATTCCCTTCATTAATTGTAGCAATAATAATTGCTATTCCAGCTGCTGTTAATAATTAGAGTGCAGGATGCCCTACTGGGCACGCCCAGGCCAGGGGCACACATGTGGGCTCCGCCTTCCCTGTCTGCTCCACAGGCAGCTGGGGGCCTCTCCAGCAGGCCCTGCACCCAATTCCAGCCCAAAGGGCATATTTGCCTTCCCTGCTGGCCTGATAACTACCTCAGCCCCCAATCGATGAGCTCCCATAAAAGCCCCCCCCCTGGTGACGTCACGTGCCCAGCAGATTATTAATACCCGAGATAAGGGCCATGATTAACATCAAATAAATCAATCACACAGTATAAAAGTCCTATTATTTTTGGCTATAAATCAACGTGGCTGGCATTTGAGCTCCAGCCACTGAGAGGGAGCTGGGCTGGGCCCGCCCGAGAGGCAGATATTGCTCCTGCTGCCTTATCTCGCCCATCACCGAGTTATCACCACGGCCAGTGCCAGGTGCAACCCCGGCTGTTTTTTCCAGCTCCTTCCCCACCCCGCCCCCGTGCAGCCCCAGCTCCCAGATCAGATAAGGGGCCCAGCACCCTAGGAAAGCCACCGGGTCAAAGTCCATAAGTAACCAGTCACTTGCCCTTTGGCAGATCAAGGCCCCAGTGAGGCCTCCCATTAGTGCACAGCAGCTAACAGTAATCTGATGGTGAAAAGGGGCCCCTCACACACTCCCTCAGCCCCATCAGCCACCCCAAGGGGTTCACGCCCAGTTACAGATTCAGAAACCGGCTCAGGAAGGACAGGTGCATGGGCTGGGGACCAGTGGGAGGGAAGGCTGGTGTTCCATCAAGCAATGTGAGATGATGATGATGGTGGCAGGGATAACAACAATGAATCAGAACTGGTACCAGAGCCCAGGCTCCTGATCCCTTCACATGGCCACTCAGTCCCCAGTGAGCTGAGGGTGATGGGAGCCCCAGCCCTGGGCTCAAGTCCCGCTGGCCCCGCCTCCTCTCACTGATTAGCCCTGGTGACTCCAATGGGCCTGCTACTGGGGAAAGGGACACAGGGGCCAGCAGGTCTCAGAGGACCAGGCTTGTTGGGCTCCTGAGCTTGTGGTGACCTCGAGTTCTGAGCCTGGGAAATGCTAGGGGTCGGAGGGTCCACAATGAGTAGGAACCTCCCTGTCAGAGACAAAGGTCTGTCTGGGATATCTGCCCACCTCCTGCCCCTCCTCAGCTTCTGGCTGCCCCCTCCTCCCCTGCAGAGCTCTCCTGCTGTCTGACACTCTACTTCTCTGTTCAGTGTTGCCTCCCTATCTCTCCTTCACTCCAGTAATGCCCACCCACTTACCACTCTCCCAAATGGGCCAGTTTGTGGCTGTTTTCTCCATCAGAATACGGCCTGGGGGTAACTCAGCCTGGGTGTGCATTCATGGTATGAAATGGGACTGGGAGTACCCAGGGCCATGGTGGAGGATCCAGGGAGGCAGAGGAGAGGGAGCTGGGCTCACAGCAGATGGCCCCGCCCCCTCATCCTCCCACTACTAGCCTTCCAGGCTGTTTCTTCTAGAAAACAGGTCAGGTGCTGACTTCCCCCAACACCTCTGCTCAGTGAGGCCCCTCCTCCTACGGTCTTGGGGATGTCTGGGGGTATAGCTATCCTGAGCCAGCCTCCTGGTGTCAGGTTAATTCACCCCTGGGAGGAGGGCTGCCTCTCCTTCCAAAACTTAGTCTCAGCTTGAGAGATGAGTCCCACCCTCCACTGGGGAAACTGCCATCAGGAGGTCCCAAGAAGAGATTCCGGTGCCTGGGGTTGGGTGGAGAGCAGGTGGGGAGACAGGGGGAATCAATGTGAATCCAGACTTGGGGGTCAGGTCCTTGATCAGGTGTGTAGGATGTGCAACCCTGAGCAACTCATTAACCTCTCAGGGCCCCATTCTCTCATCTATAAAATGGGTTACCCCCAGTTCCCTCCAGCCCCTGGGATCAAGCCCTTGGCTGGGAGCCACCCTGGCTTCTCCTTGCTCTATCAGGTACAGTTAGCCCAGATACACCAAGTTCAACGCTACTTCACAGGCGTGGAAACCCACGAAGCCACAGGCCAGAATGCGAAAAGATGTGGCTCCGAGTGCCAGGCCCCAGCCCACCATACCCACTGCCCAACTCACCTGGACTGGAAGGGCTCAGGGGCTTGGGCTCCACCTTGGCCTCCGGCTCAGGTGCTGCAGCCTCCGGCTCTGGGAGGCCGATGTCTGCGGCCTGAGCCTCCTCTCCAGCCTCCATGTCTCCGAGGGAACCTGCAGACACAGCCCAAGGGAAATCGTGAGGCTCTGCTCCTTCATGGTATGCCCTGGCCACTCCATGGAGTCAGAGGACATGAGGGGGCAGCCATCAGTGTGACTTGATGTGTGAACCTTAACCATATCAGCCCAACCTCTGTACCTAGGGGTCACTGGCCTTTCCGTTACATCTCACCTGCCCTACAGCCTCTACTGGCCCAGTGAACTGCTCTTGTCAGGACGATCGTCCCAGACTCCCCTCTCTGCTCCAAATTATGGTAGCAACGATGGGCACTCTGGTGGCTTAGGGAGCTCTCGGAGGCTAGCTGATGGCTGTGGCCCTTCCTCGTCTCACAGGTATGCTCTGGAGGGATTTGCAGAGCCCCAGTGTGCGCCCACAGCTCCTGTGGGTAAACATCACCTGGGCCTGGCAGAGCTGTTCCCTCTGACCTTGACCCTTCCTCTGGGAGGCAGCCCGCACTCAGGGTCCAGGTCTGGGAGCTTCTTGAGGGTGAGCCCCAGCATCCAGCACACAGGAGGTCTCAGAGAAGCCGATTCCAGAAATAAACAGCTGGTGGGGCACAGGTGAACACATGGGTGTCTGCAGTCAACCTCTGGAGGCTAGGGCCCCCTAATACCAATCCCCACCCTTCCCAGAGGCTCTTACAAGGGGGGCCCCATGGAGCCCACATTACAGGTGAGAAGGCAGATGGGAGTCCAGGTGACCTGACCCCGGACTAGCCCTGGGAGGGTGTCAAAGCTGAACCCGCTAGTGCCCCTGAGTGCAGGCCAGGTTGGCAACTTCTGCTCCGAGGTCAGACAGATGGTGCCGTAGAGTGGGCACAGAGAACAGTGGTGAACAGGTGCCCCCCCGCCCCCTCCTGCTCACCAGACTGCCTAAGCTCTCTATCCCTGTCTCAGCCTGGGCCCTAGGACAGGTACCGGAGTGGGGCCACCTCTGCCCCAATTACAGCAGGTCTTTGAACATGGATGAGATACTAAAGGAACCTAACTCCAGTTATATCTCCTAGCCTAGGGCAAATTTGGTTGTTACACCTCAAGAAACTTAGAGTCACAGAACCTATAAATGACATTAAGTGAGGACTTACTGTACCTCCCCAAGCTCTTCCTCTGCAGCCACCTGCCCTGCCCCACCCACCAGTCACCAGGGAGATGACACTCATCATCCAGGTGTGGTGTTGGGGAGGATCCTGACTCAAACCCCAACTATGGAATGGGGGGCAGGGAACGGGGGCTTTTTGTCTCAAGCTATTGAGCCTGAAGCATCCAGACCCTCCTGCTGATGAGGAAAATGAGCAAGAAGCTGTGGCAACATCTGCAAATTCACATGTCAGAGGTTCCTGATGGAGAAGAATGGGGCTTGTTTTGACAGGAATAGAAAGCACTAGAAGGAAACCTAAGTGGGAAAGAATGGAATGACCACTTTTCAGGTGCCATCGAGCTCCCATCCCCAGAGGCAGGCAAGCAGCAGTAGAAGGAGACTTGCTTGGGATTCACACCTCAGTGGCTGGTGGTTCCTGATCTTTTGTAGGTCTGACCCCTCTGGGAATCCTATCAAATCCAGTGCTTTCTCCCCAGAAAAACACAGAGAGGGACTAAAATTTTGAAATAAGACATTAAGAATATACATCTCAGGTAAAAATTGTGGTTTGAATTTTAACCCCTCTTGTCTGGCTCCTGCACCTGATTAAACACAGGATGTTTACCTAAGGCAATTTTCCCTTGCCTGGGACCAGGACCACAGGAGATTGATTCCCACTCACTCAGTAACCTTCAGAGATAGAAACTGTAGATAACCTTCAGAGATAGAAACTGTAGATAACCTCTGAGCTCTGCTTCTGTTTTATCGGCTATCACAAGATAGGGCCACATTCCAATGCCCAGCAGGATGTGACTGGGAAAGACTCTGCTTCCAGCCTTTGGAATTTAGAACAAAGAAAAATTCTTGTGGTTTAGGCCTTTAAAAGGACTGCCTACACCTGAAATAGTGCGGTTGTGTGGAGTCCACCTGCGTATGGTGCTCTTGCAGCGGTCCTGGCCAGTTTTTCAATAAATCCTTGCCTGCTTTTTTAATCAATCTTCAGCCTCTGATGGTCTTATTTTGAACCCAGGGTTCGACCCCACAACAATTTGTCCAGCTTTAGGGGTTTTTCACCGAATTACTCGTGTCCTCCTTGGTGCCCTTACTCTCCAGGGCACCAAGGCTTTGCCAGGGTTTTCCAGGGGGTGAAGGAAGGTGGGTAGTTAGCTGCCTGCTGATGCTTCCGATGCCTGCCCATCAAGTCACACTGTGCAACCAGCCAGTGTCCAACCCGGCCAGGGAAACTGGCTCAAGGCAGCAGGACAGGGAGACCCATGAGGCTATGATAGAATGTGGTGGCCGAGTTCCCAGGCTTACTTTCAAAACCTAGCAATTTACATTGAGCAGGGAGGTGCAAAGCCGGTTTTCTTTGCATTTCAGGACACCTCTCTTACAGGTGGGTGATGGCCCGCCACAGAAGTGAAAACCGAGTTGTTCCTGGTGGGGCAGATGCCTTTCCTAACTTCCATGGACAGCTGAGGGCAGACACTGTTCTAGAAAGCAGAGGTGTTGGGACCTCTGGATTCTTCGGGGACTTCCATGCCTGCCGGGGAGATAGTCAAACAATACACAGGCCCCACACCGAAACAACAGAAAATGATAAATGTGGTGTGAGGGAGGGACTCAAATGAGAAAGACAGATGCTACCAGCAGATCTCAGGGGTTGATGTTGGTGCGAGGCTGACAGCTGAGGGCAAAGGAAGCGGCTTGTGCAAAGGCCTGGAATCCGGACGGGCCTAGATATGGTATAGGAAGGAGGAGAGGGGAGTCAAGGCTAAGAGGAGAGTAGGGTTGACCTCCTCTTAGCCTGGAGACAGCGATGGGCGGTAAGGGGAGGTAGATCCTAACCCTGAGGCACACAGAGCGTCCACACAGGGCAGCAGGGTCATTTCCCTACTGTAGTCCCCTGGACTTAGCTCTAACCTCCCCAGGACACCTCAGAGCTATAATTACTCAGACCACACAGAACCAGCCCCAGGCTAAGCCTCTGTGCTCTCGTCAATGCGCCCACACAAGCAGGCTCTGTGTTGGGCTGGGCACACCCCAGACCGGTCGGGCTTGTGCCCCTGGGACAGGTGGGAGGCCTGACCCGCAGTAACCTCCCTCTGCACACACCTTGGTGGGAAGCACTGGGTGCAGTGGAGGCCAGCCTCTGATTCCTCTCCCATGGAGTCGGCCCTGAGTGGGCACTGCCCATCACTGTGGTCAGCATACAGTCCTGAGGTCAGCCCATTTGCTGGCCCTTTTCTAGAAACCCTGGTGCCTTCTGTAGCTCATTCAGAGCTAGAGGGGTTGCCTCAGGGCTGTAGCCCCTCTTGTTGAATGGGCCATGGGATTTCAGGGCCTCAGTTGCCGGTTTTGGAGAATGGGTAAGAAGCTACCTGTTTTCAGAAAAGGCAGGGACCAGAGCATTGGGGTGGGGCTGACACTCCCCTCCTCATGCCTGTCAGGCCCCGGGAGGTCCCCTACTCTCCCTGCCTCACCCAGGTGGGCCTCGCCACCCAGGGAGGCCCTGAGCTCCCGTTGGATCCATTTACTGGAGAACAAAGGCATCCGCTCTGCATCCACTCTGCACAAAGGCGTGACAATGAGCGTGAAGAAAGAGGCAATTTATTCTAATGCCGCTAATTCAGTTCCAGCACAATTAACACGGCTCTGATAATGCAGGAGACAACAGCCAACCAGCAAATCGCTTACAACCCCACAACCAGCTCGGGCGAATTCCGCCCCACACTCCCGGGGCGCAGAGAGCATGCCACGCTGTTCCCGCTTAAGCCCATGACACCTGTTTCCACCTGGGTTCCGGAGGAGGGTTTCTCAGCTGGCAAAGGTGATTGTTGAGATGCTATGCTTCCCTGGGTGCCCTGGGCTAGGACAGAGCCCGCCCAGCCCCTATAGGACCCTCTCTGCCCAGAGACCTAACAGCTGAGCCAGGCGGGAAGTGTCCTTGCTTTGTGACCTCAGACAAGGAACTCTAGCTTTCTGTGCTCAATAATTGCACAGCTCCTACCTTACAGAATGAAATGTGGTGACACCTGTATTTGAACTTAATTCAAGGCTGGCACACAGTACATATGCCCCAAACATCAACTGTCATCATCATTAGCTACTACCATCTACCTCCCAGCAGAGCCCAGGAAATGGTGGGAGGGTGGGAGGGGGGTTGCACTATGATTAAGCACTACCCTGTGCTCAGCATTTTGTAAATGTCCTTTGTACCCCTCCAACCCCTTGTAGCCAGGGGTATAGCGATGATGGGGACAGTGTGTGGAGGGAGGAGGGTACACTTCTACCATACATGGAGGAGTGGTGGGAGAGGACAGTGGAAGGTGACAGGACCAGGTGAAGGGGGAGGCAGGGCTATTATGAGAGTCATGATGGGCAAATGCACTTCCCAACACCTCCCAAGATGGAAACCCGAGTCACTCCCACTTTGCAGATGAGTAAACTGAGGTCCAGCAAGGAGGACTGACCTGCTCATGGGCCTGGGCGAGGAAGCAGTGGTGGTGATGGGGGAGGGGGACAGGAGTCTTCTCTAAGAAGCCACCCTTCCAGATACCGGCTCAGACCAAGGCCCTTCTCTGTGCGGGTGCAGCCTCACACCTCCTCAACCCGCAAATGACCTAGAGCGGAGACGAAGCTGACCCCATTGCCTGGTGTGGTCCAGAGGCCGATTCCCAAGGCCGAGCACCTGTTTGGGGGGTGCACACGGACGATGTCAGTGGTCACTGCCAGCCACCGCCAGCCAGGGCAGCCCTGGGCATGGCCCCCGCTGCCCAGAGACCCTTGGTTATCACAGTGAGCAGACGCCAGCGCTGCGATCAGTCTCCTGCTCATTAAGCTGATGCCGAAATGGAATGAAAACATAATAGCTATTTGATTGGGGGTGAGATATTTTGCATATTGGCTCAGCACT